TTTTTCATCTTTTTGAGAGCCCCAGCTCTGTAGCCCCAGCTGTTCCTGGAACTCACTATGTAGACCAGGCTTGTTGGGGGACCTTGCCGTTAAGGTTGTAGTCCACCATGTTTGGACAGCTCTCTGAGCTCAGCTCAAAATGGAAGACTCCTTTTCTCAGCAGGGGCTTTCTACTCTCTGCCTGACCTTATCTGGAAAGTGTCTCCAAGCACAGATGCCTGACCTTATTTGGAACATGACCTTTGACATAGTTCCCTGCAAATGCTGTCCCTGGTTTTCCCATATGATAATTAGGCATTGCACTACAGCCAGTCAATCCCACCTCCCCTTTCTATATGACAGGGTCCTCCTGCTACATGTAAATAAAGCACACTATGAACACCTATCAGGTAAAGCTTTGGCTCCTGTCCTCACCCTATATATTCCCTCCAACTCCCCTAAATAAACGAGCTGTCTCACTGAAACTGACTCCCTGAAGTTCTTTCTATTGTATTCACAGTCATTCTGACCCTGTTCGTTGCTTCTGCTTCCTTTGTTCTTGCAGATCGGTGGTCAACAACCCACGAGGGATGAGAGACCCACAAGGCTGGCCTTAAACTCACAGAAATATGCCCACCTCTGCCTCCCGAGTGCTGGGATTAAAGGCATGCATCACTACACCTGGCATTGTTATTTGTCACTAATGGTTATACTGAATGTCAGTTGTATGTAAAATGTCCCATGTCTTACAAAATTTTGCAAAAGTTTTATTACTCTAAGTGGGACTATTATTATTATTTTGTCTTTTTGAAGCAGGGTCTCCCTGTAATCCCAGCTGTCCTGGAACTCACTATGTAGACCAGGCTGGCTTTGAACTCACAGAGATCCACCTACCTCTGCCTCCCAAGTGCTGGGACTACAGGCATGCACCACCATGCCTGGCAGGACTATTATTATTAAAAAAAAAATTTAAATTGAATTTTTGTGTATTTCATACAGAAAATCACCTTTATACCCCCTTCCCCTTTGGCACCCACCTGTAGTGCCCCCCCCGCCACAAAGTTCATACATTCTATCATTTGTATTAAGGCCTATCATATAAAGTTAGTATCTCAGATGTCCTTCAGTGCAAGTTCTTCCACTGGGATTTAGTCAGCCTATCTAGAGTCCTTCCTTTTAAGAAGATCAAGTCTTCCTCACCCAGCAGCAATCAGGTGCCAATAATTCTTTGACTAAGATTGGGGCCTGCTGTCCATTTCCATAGTTCTGTGTTTTTGTCTGCTTAAGTTTGTATGGGTCTTGTGCATGCAGACACCACTGCTGTAGGTTTGTATGAGAAGGGTCCCAGGCACCTGTAGGACTATTTCCATATGGTCATGCACCTCCTCTATGGCTCTTACAATCTTTCTGCCCCTTCTTCCATAATGGTCCCTGAATCTTGGGTGGGTGGATTTTAATATAGGAGTCCTGTCCAAGGACCCACACTCTACACTCTTATTTTCTTCATTTGGCCATTTGTGACTTTTTGTATTCCTGACCCTCTGTTGCATGAGGGGAGTTTCATTGATGAGAGTTGAGAGATGTAGTAGTATTCTCTTCATCCCTTGTTCTATGTTCTGTGAGCCTCAGATGTAGAGGTTGCATCCTAGATGTGTCATTTAGACTTGGGCAATTCACAGACAATCTCTGTGTGTGACCAGTTGTGGAACTTGGTAATTATTTCTGTCTCTTGAAAAAGAAGCTTCTTTGATAGACTGGGATATGTGTCTATAAATTTAAGGATCCATATTTTGCACATAGTAAGAAGTTGCATTTGTCTAGGGATGTGACAGCCTTGGAGTGTTCTCTAAGATATCTCCAGCTATGCGTATTTGGCTAGGTTTACAGTATCACACATGAGTTTCTTCATATTGAGTGGGCTTTAAGTCCAATTAGGTAGCTGTTGATTACCCCAAGATAAAAGCACTATTGCACCAATATTATCTTTTTTTTTTCGGTCTTTTTTGAGACAGGGTCTCCCTATAGCCCCAGCTGTCCTGAAACTCACTATGTGGACCAGGCTGGCCTTGAACTCACAGAGATCCACCTGCCTTAGCCTCCTGAGTGCTGGGATTAAAGGCGTGCACCAACACAACTGGCAATGGAACAGACAATGGTTATTTATGAGGCTTAGTGAAATAAGAGAGTGACAATATATACAAGATAGTTGTATGGAATATTTAACTGAATTCTGTCTAGACCTAGCTGTAAATGTTTTTAAATAGAACCTTATAGATTTTAAAAAAACAATTAATTTTATGTCTTTAGTAGAAGAGGCTAATTAAAATATCCATATAGTGAAATATGTATTAGGAATTTTTTCCTAATAAGGTGTATTGCCTTATTTACTCAATATCAACATAAAGTGGGGCCATTGATCATGCCTTTACAGAGAACTTGCCATTTAAAAATGTGGCATAGGCCATGCCTGTAATCCCAGCACTCGGGAGGCAGAGGCAGGTGGATCTCTGTGAGTTTGAGGCCAGCTTGGTCTCATAGTGAATCCAGGCCAGCTATGGCTACAAAGAGACCCTGTCTCAAAAAGACCCCAAAAAATGTAACATAGGTGTTTATTTATTAAAAGGCACAAAATGACAAAATTTTAAAATGGTAATCTTTTAAGTCAATAATACCAATATGGTAGGTTTAAAGCACTACTGTAGAGGTATGGTTATTGAACATCCAGAAGGTCACTTGCATTAGTCTGGTACTGTTTAGTACTGTATAATATTTAGTAAAACCTAAATGCTCCTAAATAAACTTTGTTCAGAAATACATTTTATTTTCAAACTAGTCTTTGTAATAATTAACATGATTAGATCAATAATCCATTAGAGGTTCAATCAAACTTGACTAGAAAATTTAAGTTTATATATAC